GCTGTTGTAGGTGATGCCCTTGCCCAGCAGCAGTATGGGCTTGTCCTCGGGCGCAGTGCCGCAGTAGTTCACCTCCAGCACGACTGGCGGCTCGCAGCTGCCCTTGGCGACCATCAGAAACGAGTTGAGGCGATTCTCCTCGATCCAGTCCATGGAGCGTATGTCGACGCTAACACCGCACGGGCACAGTGCATCCACCGTGGACTGGGCGAATATGGTCGGCGTCATCTGGTTGGCCGGCGAATCGCTCAAGCGTCGGGCCAGGTTCTGTGACTCGGCCTTGAAGAGACCGCGTGTCCAGGCATCCATTTCTGGTGAATCGTACAGCTCCAGTTTAGGTATTTGTGTGCGATCCTGCTTCCGGCGATTGCTATTGTAGCGCCAAATGGCCAGGGCGCTGCCCTCGGCTGCTTGCTCTGGATATTCCATGGAGTCCACATAGACCTCGTTCACGCCCTGCAACTGCAAAGCTCGAGCGCCCACGCCGGCGGCGACACGTGCATTCTCCATGCCCTCGTCAATCATCTCCAGGTCATTGTACCCGGCGCCCTCCTGGCCCAGTCCCACCACGGCAACGGCACTAAACTCTGGGTCCACATTCATGAAGACCATTCCCTTGCCCAGCTCACCCCTCATCTGTGTCTCACGCACCAAATCCGAGATCTTACCCTGTGCCCGATCATCGAACTTCTCCCCGCTGGACGTCAACTTCGGCTCCCGCTCGCCCTCCTTGCTGTACACGCCTATCACCACGCCCTTCACTGCGCAGTTCTCGTCGCACTTTATCGCGAAATGGCGAAACTGACCAACACTAGACATGCAACCGATTGGGCTCGGCATTCGCTTGTCCTCATAGCCGCCGGCATCCTTCCAGGACTTGGTCACGCGAATCCGCTTGTAGAAATGCACATTTTTATGGAACGCAATAGCCACACGATTAGCCAACATTATACTGTTTAGTCTTTACAAGTTTACGTTATCTAAGAACGTTATATAAGAACTGTATTAGAAGTGTTTTGTTTTATTAATAAACTCTTCCGAAAATTTTACTGATACGAATGCGAATATGTCACTTGTGTAAAGCCCTACGGAATACTATACAATACCAGTTGACTTGTGTAACTTAGCCTCCTCAATTTAAGCAATTAAACATGTGGCAGGATTAACATATGACAGCTAAAAATTTCTAAGGGATATCTAAATCTCAATAAGTAAGAAGACTCCAGTAGGGGTGCCTAATGATATGGTAGATATATACATAAATGTATATTGAAGTAAGGAATATATAAACTATATAAAAAAATATATAAAAAATAAAAATAGAATAAATTTAAAATGATTCTATATGAACAATTTTGGGACTCTAGCTCGAAGGATCTACTAAATATAATATTATATATGACTTTTGATATGGTTATTAATAATCAATAATCAATAACACTTAAATCCACAAAAAAAAAAAAAAAAAAAAAAAAAAACAGAATCTCTAGCTCTTAAAAATTCAGAGATCGGATCGATCAAACATACGAATAGACGAACGAGCTAAATCGACTCAGCACATCACCCCATAAATTATAAAAATATTCTTTACTAATATATCTGCTTTATGAGGTCTGCCACGCCTCCTTCTGCCTATTACATGGACTTGAAAAAAACAAATATACCCTTATCTCCCATTTTCGATGAGTCATAAAATATTAAATATATAAAAAATTTTTGTCCCACCAAATGTTCCTATAGACTCCGAGTTCGTATGATTTTAACATTCGTTGGAGGCTAATCAAATTTTTCTTTATAATTATATAGAATATAAAATTATATAAACACATTAATGTACTTCAGCAAAAGAAGTGTTTCAGGGAGAGAGAAAGAAATACATATTTACCCATTACTTAGATTGGATTATTTAATTGAACTTTCAACTAAAGATTACATAATTGAGAACACATTTCTCCAGCAATTCTGGTATATTCTTATTCCTCATCGGAGTCTTGCTGAGTGCTGGGTTTTAGGCCACCGAAGACCTTGGCGGGTATTGCCTTTTGTTCGAAGCGCAACTTCTTCATGATGAGACCCTCTGCATCAGTTTTCGTAGCTGCAGCTGAGTCGCCCTCTGGCGCGTGATCTGCAGCGTCTTCTGCCTCATCTTCATCGTCATCTTCCTCGTCGCTGTCGCCGATATCAATCTCATCAGGATTGACGACCGTATTGTCCTTGGTCTTGGAGCCGCCTTGCGTTTCGCCACGCACGAACATAATATTGGAAGAAGTCGTTTGGCTGGGCTTCTGCTTGGCCTCGGCGGCCGCTTGTCGCGCCTTCTCCTCCAGCATGCGCATGGCATCCGAGCCAGAGCCAGCGCCCGCATCGGCTGCAGCGCCACTATTCGTATTGAGGAACTGAGCTGCCATCATGTTGACCTGGGTGTTGTAGGTGGCCTGCACCGAGCGCTTGATGCGCAACATCTCACGCATTGTGTCCTCGTTGCCATGACGCACCTCGAACTCCTTCCAGGTCTGCCAGAAATCGGCTGTAATGCGAGGATCGCAGACCTAAAGACGATGTGCTTATTATAATTAGATTTGTTTTATTATAATGATGTTCATTTGCATATGACTTGCCTGTGAGCAATGCGAATAGATGGCTCTGGCGCGATCCACCTCGCCCAGCTTTGTCTCCAGCTCGGCGAACTTGACGCACATGTGCCGCATGTTCTGTTCCGGCAGCGCCTCAATGGCCTTCTCATAGATCTCGCGTGTGCGTGGCAGTCCGTAAATTTCGGCTGCCTTCTTAATAAATATGTTGTACATATCGAACATCTCGTCCTCTTTGACGGCGCTGGTCGCTCGGTCGTACACGGCCATGGCATGTCGGGCTAGGCCGTGCTCCTCCTCCAGCTTGGCATAGAGCAAGTAGAAGTACTTGGCATGCTCCGGCGGACAATTATCCAGGCATTGCTCGAAAAGATCGCGAGCACGCTCCAGTTTGGTGCCACCATAGCGCTTCAGGAACTTCGTCAAATACGAATTCCATATATCGTAGACATTCGGCCACTTGAATAGCGCAATGCCCTTCTCGTATGCGCGATAGGCTTCCTCATAGTAGTTGTGCTCTTCCAGAAACAGGCCGTAATTAATGATTATTTGTGGCGTGCAAATCTTCAGGTCAATGATGCGCTCGTACACAGCCTTGCAGGTTTTGAAAGTGCCAAAAGATTCCTCCAGATCGGCGTACATGGACCACACCTTCAGGGATTTATATAGACGCATTTGCACCGTCTCCGTCTCGTCATGGTAGGCAACCTTTCGCTTTGGCATTGCCGTGGCACGTTGCATTAGCTTGAGCGCAGCCTCGAATTGCTGCTGGCGCAGTTCCATTTCAGCCCACTCGCACCACACTGCCGCCAAATGCTCCACCTTAACGTACTCCACTTGCGTGCCGCGCTCAAATACCACGCGCGCATCGTCCACCTGCCCATTTTCCTCGTAGAACTTGGCGAACTCCACCCACAGCGTGTGCAGCTGCCCCACTGCCAGCTTCGGCTGCACCGTCTGCACGGCCTCCGTATAGGTGTTGATAATCTCCTCAGGCTTGTCCTCATACAGTTTCACCCGCTTGTGCCACTCATGCACATTGTGAGGATTCTGGCGTAGCAACACGCTGTTCAGCAGCAGCAGACGACGTTCCATCAAATACTCGAAGCGCGAGAGACGCAACTCGACGTCAATGTCGTCCTCCTCGCTGGCGTCTTCATCGTTTGCAACCTGCTCCATGCGCTTGTTCAACGACAACTCCTCAAACTGCGCATACTCGTCGAAGACTTGAGTGAAGTCCCGAACTGTGGTCACCGTCTGTATGGCCTCCTCGTAGATATCACGAGCACGATCAAACAGGCCTGAGCGTACATAATAGTCAGCCAGAGAGTTCCAGAGGTGCCCCAACTGATCCGTGTAGCGACGCAGACCACCACGAATAATTGCATCAACATTGAGTGAATGCACCTTGTGCGGATGCTTCGAGATCAAGTCGCAGAGCTCGTTCCATAGCTGGTGATTTGACTTGCCGTGCTTCGACACAAAATGCTCGTTGTCCACAATGTGCGCCAGTTGCTGTGCCGCCTCGTCCAGACGTTGTGCCTCCTACAGCAATTGAGTCAAGTTGTAAAAATTAATATTTTCTTTTAGATAATCTATTATCTCACCTGTAAGTAGGCTACATACTCCTCTGCATCCTCGGGAAACAATTTTAAATACCTCCTGTAGACACGCAGCGCCGTCTCGGGTATCTCGTAACGCTGCACAAACTTCAGATACAGCGGCCAGATGCGTCCATGCTGCGTGATGGGCAAGGCACGCAGCGCACGATCGAAAACGTGGCGGGTGCGTGTGATTTTACACTGCGAGCTCATGAACACGCCATAGTCCATCCAAATGCGCGGCATCTTGTGCATGAAGACCAGCGCACGCTCAAACGTGTTGTTCACCTGCTCGTACATGGGATCTGTGGGAATGCGGCCCCGCACCTGCTTCCTACGCGTACGCAAGTAGTTATACCAGATCTTGTAACTGCCCGGCAGCTCCTTCAAGGCGCGCTCGTACACTAAGTTAACGCCATTGTTGGGAGCCTTAGCCTTATGGTCGATGTAGCGGAGCCAGTGCTTCACGGAATACGCATTGCGTAGAATCTCTTCCTCGTACGGCACATCCTCCTCTTCCTAAAAATATGCAATTAGCTATGTGGGCAAACATACCATCACTATATACTTACAAAATTCAGCTCGACTTGCAGCGGCTGTGTTGATTTTTCGCTCATTTTGCTTTTATTTGCAAATAATACAACAAAAGCCGCAAAACGTTTGCATGCGCGTCTTCAATCATCTGTTGATGCACAGCGTTGCCACTTTTAGGAAAATATATAGTATTTAACGATAGTATTTAAATACCCACATAAGCAAATGCAGCGGCAACTAAAATAGTACTGTAAAACACATAAAAAACAGTGTTGGATAGCAGCACGCGGCATCTTTTTGGCGGCCATCACAACGAAGAACTGAAAGTCGCAAGCCAAAACGCATAATTTAATGTGTTGACAAAAAACGCGCATTTAGATTTAAATAAAACGAAACCAAACAATTTGAAAATGTCCGCAAGCGCTGCACGAGTTTACATTCAAGTAGAAAGCGAGGCCGAGCAGCAGGAGCATCTGAAACAACAACGCAAGACACTAAAGCCAATTCAGGCTAGCGCCAACGCCAACGACAAGGAGAATCTAACGGGACGTGTCTCCATCGTGGATCAGCTTAGTCGCTTAAAAGCCGGCGTCAATACAACGCCCAAATATGGCAAACGCAAATGTGTAGATACAGCGGCCACAACAACAATAACCACACAGGATGCCGATACACAGACCGAAGACTGTGCATCCACCAGCGATGCCGATAAGCCAATCACAGCGGCTGATCTGACCAGCGAGAGCGAACCGGGTGAGAACTACTACAAACTGCTATCGGAGCAGCGACGCGTTGCCCTCGAGGAGACACTCAACGAGAATCGCCATTTGCACGAACGCATCGAGGGACTCGAAGAGGAGATGAACACGATGCGGCAAGAGCTCGACGAGGCTAAGACTCTGGTGGAGGTGCTCAAAGAGATATGCGACGAGAATGATGGCGATGACGAACAGACGCAATCAGAGGATCAACACGAATAGTTACACGAACTGCTAAATAAATAAATAAATACATTTATTACATGTTAGAGTCATATTACTATTATATTTTGAAAGTAGATGTAGTTAATTCATTTCGATTTTTCTAACTTATACATTTATTATTATTATTATTATCATTATTAATATATATGCAACAACCAACCCAATGGACTGGTCTCAATGTACGCCAGCAATAAATATTTTTTAGTTAATTTTCCAATAAAAGTTGTTTCCGTATTTTGCAAGGCTTTTTCTTTATTATTTATATATATATATTTATAATCATTATTTTCATTCACTTTAGCCAGTCGGTGATGATCTCCTCGCTGTGAAATGTCTCCACGTCAAACTGCAATAGGAAATGTTGATAAGTATACAATATATATAAATGTTGGATAGCTACTAGAGATCTGCATGGATTCACTCACAACACAAGTCAAGGTGAATGACTTGAGTGAGTGAGTGAGCGGCACACAATGAATTGAGTAAGCATGAATATATGTATGCTCGTGTTTTAAATGAGTAAGAATACAAAGATCATAAAAAACAAAAGGCAAAACTAAAAGCACTTTGCATCTCGGTTAGACGCATTCCCACTCATTCAATTCATTACGAGTTCACTTATTTATCCACAGCGTTTCGTCACTCAATGCATTTTGCGCATTGCTCATTCGAATGTTTTCATCTTTTGTCAGTCATGCAGATCTCTAATAAGTACGCACCGCATCCGTGCATACCTCAATGCACTCTTCGTACTTGGGCACAGCGCCCATTACGTCCACATCATTGGCGGCTGCATCCAGATAGGCTGAATCGGCCTTGGCTGCTGCGATGAGGACGGCCGTCTCGGTGTCCGGCACAGCAATCTCCTCATCGTTGTCCTCGTCGTCGTCCTCATCTTCGGGAGCAGGCACTTTGGCCAATCGTGTGTCCGCATCATCCGGATGCCCATGGGCGGCTTTCATGTGAAGACGCAGGGCAAAGGGACGCGCATACTCGGCGCCGCAAGTAACGCACCAATATTTGTTCGACAGCTGCTGGCTCTTGATGGCTGCACTGCTGACGCTCTTGGCGTCGCTGGTCCTGTGGGTGGACATGTGCGCCTTGACGGCATACAGCGAGGCAAAGGGCCGATTGCAGACGGCGCACTGATACGGCTTCGTGTGCGTATTCTTATGGGCATAGAGCTGCACCGAGGTGCGAAAGGCCTTCGGGCAGCTATCACAGGTGTATAGGCGGTCCGAGCTGTGAATGCGCAAATGATGCGAATAGACCTGATACGATTTAAATCTGCAATGGAGAAACGAATATAATGAGATTTTGATTGATTCATTGAAATTTATAAGGAACCAATACCGCTTATTGCAAGTGGTGCACACATAGGGCCGTATGTTAGTGTGTGTGCGCAGATGCAGCGTGAGCGAGTAGGAGACGCGAAAGGTCTTGCCGCACACCTCGCAGCTGTAGGGCTTCTCGCCGGTATGGACACGCTCGTGCTTCACCTTTTCGTACGGCCGGGAGAAGACACGTTCACAGTATTGACAGGCAAATCCTGGTTTATCCTTCTTTCCATTGGCAGGCTTTTTATTGGCATTGGCATTGCTATTGCTATTGCTGTTCAGCGCACGTTCGTGAATCTTCAAATGCACCTCATAGTTGGTAGCATTTTCAAATTTGCGATTGCAAATGCCGCACAAGAACTGCTCCTGGCTCTGGTGCATTTGCTTGTGCACCGTCAACAGGTTCTGCTCGAAGCTGCAAAGGAGTTGGTAATATTTAATAACCAATAGAGTTACGAGAGTTTCAATAAATACTCACCTCTTGTTGCATATCTCACAGTAGAACTGATCTAGTTCGCTGTATTGCTGATGTGCGCCCACGGGCAGAGCGTCCTGTATGGACTTGGGAGCGCGTTTGTTGTGAATGCGCATATGGAACTTGAGACACTTTGCCGAGCTGAATTTCGTATTGCAAATGTCGCACACTGTGACGCTGCTGTTGTTGCTGCTGCTGGAAGCCGCGGCAGCTGCGACCTTTCGGCGCATTGGCGTCTGTGTCTTGGCTAGCTTGGCGTTGTTGCTCTTGCCGCGTGCTTCGCCGCTTGCTTCAGCCTGGGGACAACTATGGTCCTCCGCGCTCTGGCGAGTCTCAAATATGCTGTGACAGTCGAAGCAGAAGTAGCGCTCCGATTTGTTAGACACTTCCTCAGCTTCCGCCTCCGCCTCCTCTTCATCCTCTGGCTCAGCTTCGGATGCAATTTCAGCTTCATTGACGACTCTGGCTTCCACTTGCTCGTCATCCTCCAGCACCTCCCACAGCTGTGGTTCGCTCGCCTCATCAAGCTCTTCAACCAGATCATCCTCAACGACCATGGAATCAATATCTACCATGGTGTCTTCGAACTCCTCTTTGATCTCAACCGCATGTACCATGACTTTGGATCTGGCCTCGACCGTGGCCCCACAGCCATCAGGGCCACTGTGCGCCTGGTTGTACGACTCGATGCTGTCGAAGTCATTATTGCAGTCCTCACAATAATATATTTCATCCACACCCGTATCAATTACGAAGTGGTCAATATTGCTTTCTTTATTTTCGTCCACGTGCAAGTCCGAAGCTATTCCGTAATTTATCTCACTGGATCCTGTTAATTAGCACTGTGAGCATTGGCTAAAATTAATATACTCAATCATTACGCACCTGACATCGCATAGCTTCGCCTTGAATGCTACAATAATTATTTCTGGCTGTCGGTCGGCTACATATGTGTCAGTCCGTCCACTTTATTCTTGTCATAAAGGTGTCCCAACAATCGATAAGACTCGAGTACGATATTTGACAATGATTCTAATATCGATTGCTTCTGCCGATAGTTTCTCTGTTAACCGCAGGTAGTTATCTGCCCTCTGTATACGCTCTGTTAAGTGCCCGCAACATCTTCGCATTCAAATTGATTGAAATGAAACAGTTTTTACTTTTGTAATTTATTGTATTTGCTCTATGTGATTGGCACTAAGTTAGGCATATTTACAAAAACAATATAACAAGTATCAATATCAATATCAAACATTAAACAGATCTTTTTACAAACTATTAAACGACTTTAAGCAGGAATGATTACAAGTTTATCTCACTGACTGACTACAATTAAGACTAAAAAATGACCCGAAACTAAAATAACAACGAATACAGCTGACAGCCAATGCGTTTGCAGACATTCGAAACGACATAGGCGCCAGCCGAAACGGTCACGAACAACGTCAACCAGCCAAGAAACGTAAATTCCCCAACACGCGGCCTTATATGCTGCTGCAGACCCAGCCAGCCGCCATTGTCGATCAGCCAATAGACCAGGTCATCCTCAATAATCTCTGCCAAGCCGTCGACCAGGGTCTGCAAGTAATCATAGTGGCCCTGGCGCACACAGTCGATAGCAAAGCCACCACAGACCGAAAATATCGAGATGATTTTGCCCCACGTAATGCTCGAGCGAAAGAGATCCTTGGCCACCAGATTGAGCAGCATGGGCGCCATATCGCTGTCCTCCAGCTCGCCGAACGGGGCACGCGACAGCTGCCTGGAGATATTAGTGTAAACACGCGGATGCATGCGCTCCAGTTCCTCGCCCATCTGCATAAGAAATTACATAAATAATCATTAAAATATAAATTGAATATATGCATAGCAAGATTTATATACTTACGCTATTGAGCGCTGGAAACACCTCGTAGACTACATGTGACGATGGCTCCAGTATGTTGCGTAGTCTTTGTATCACCTTCCGATTGAGTACCCCGGCACGCCGCAGTCTCGCTCTGATGTACTGCCCGCACAGGCACTTGCCCTGGCAAATAGACAAACAACATAACGAAGTTCAATTAATAAATAACCAATTCGATCAAATCAATTTAGTTGTGATGGCCTGTGCGAGCTTTGATCTCTCGCACATGGAGGCATTAGGCAGGCATCAGAGTGCCAAGAGGGCCGCGATCTATGCAGGTGTATCCATCAATTGCTAGTCAAAATTTCCGCTTATCCGGAATCGCATAATTTATGATATCTGGAAACAATTCGAAAATACATTTCGATTTCGTCTATTTTCGTTTTGTTTTCGTGCTACTTTGTTTGGGATTGTCGGCGTCGGCATTGGAAAATTGTTTTTGCGGCACTTTTCAAGCAATTTCATTTCGGTTCAGCTTTTGGCCAAAACACACACACACAGACAAAGAATTTCTACCTGTCTGCGAATTTTGAGTTTTTGGCCGATTCACTGAACTGAAGTGACACCTGCTAAATTTCATTCACACTCTTAACACACCTCAAGATAGTTCAGAATTCGAAAGCCAACGCAGCACATTTAATGCAGCGCTCGCAAAAATAATATAAACACAACAAAAAATAAAGATTTTACAATCAACAATGCTCAGCTATGAGATATTGTGAATTAAGTTTAGTTAGTTGGTATATCTAAGGTCTAGAATTTGGATACAAACTGGAATTGATTATTTATCTTTGTTTTGGCATTCAAGCATTCGCGTTCGTTTACCTCGATTCACCCTCCCACTCCCTCTCTCTCTATCTCTCTCTATGAATGTGGTATATTGTTTATATTTTAGTTTTAGATTAATTAGTCTACGCTTAGCTATCATTAATTATTATAATAGAGTCAGATAACATTTTCTATACATACTCTTTTTGCATTTATAATAATGCAACTAAGTTTCAGATATGAATATAAATTTTAAAATGTATATATATTTTTTATTTATACTCTGAAACCAATGGGCAATAGAGGTATAATAGTTTCGTTCTTATTGAACTTGATTGCTTTTTTATGACTATACTAGGTAAGATCTCTTCTAAATAATCCCATTGAGATTTTCACACTATTCTCCAATATACTTATGATCGATTATATCTTGCGATAGATCTCTTCAGTTGCTAGAGGCGCACACACCTTACTAATAATTTATACATTGTAGCCTCACATCTGAGCAAAGCAGGGTATTTGGCACTAGAGCTAAATGAAATACGACTTTATTTAGTGGCCGATGCTAGCAGTGTGCGCCGTGCAGAAGGAAAGAAAGTGGAAATGTTTATAGAGATGAGTGTTAACCATTAGCCAATAAAATCCTAAACAGACCCAACCAGCTGAGTGTTGTACTGAGGCTCTGTCGGGGCAGACTATAGCGGATCTTATCAGTAAACACTATAGGAAATATAGTGAGCGACTAATG